CAGTATCCCTTCTTCAATGGGATGCCTCCTAGAAGGTGTAGAGTGTCTTTTCCTAATCACTGAGAAATCACATTCAATTAAATCATTCCTGGAAGATTCTTCCTCTAATCCCTGGCATCCTGGGATGAGAGCATCCTTTCTTGGCTGTGTCCTTCACCTCGTTTTGCAGAAACTGGAAACTCTCCTAAACCAGACAAGTAAATTTTCAAGGAATCCTGCCAGCTCCCCAAACCAGCTTTCTCCTTCAAAGAAAGGAAGCTGCTGGAATGCTATTGTATATTATATAATTACTTTTTGAATGTTCATGTGTGAGTGTCATTGCTTATGTAGCCAAAGGGGTGTCAACTGCAAAGAAGATGGCTCAGCAAACTCAGAAGTGTATAGATGTATCAAAAATATTTAGGGAACGCCCCCCCCCCAAAAAATTTCCCCTGCTCCAAAAGAATTTAGTCCAGTGAGGACTGAGGATGTTAAATGACCACAAAATGCTAACTAACTATTGGCTGGGGAGGATGAAAACCAGATGTGAATGGGAATGGAATGGAACATCATGAAGAGAGGGCATGGCTGGCTGACTATCATAGTGAACAGGAGAAATTCCATGTTTCATTGTTTTGTGGCAGGTCCCATTTGCTCTTTGATTTTTCCCCCTTGCTGTATTTTAAGCTCACATACCATTTTTCTTGGGATCTCAATTATAGGGCTGAAATATATCCAATATATAATAATAAAAACTATGTACTGTATTTCTAAAGCACAAAAAAGTAAATCAATACTTCATAAAAGATAGCATGCACTAAAGATGATTAATTCTCAACAATATACATGAATCTGGCTCCTCAAGACAAAAATAGACCAAAGTTAATTACTAAATATTCTATACAAGAGTAGGAACGCATTCTTTTCATCCAGGCAAAATTCATTTAATAGAAAATAAGATTTTCTATAACTGTCAAATTCCAGTTCGCCTGAAAAGCCCAGAGTACTGAACAGTATGGACAGTCCTATAATTGCCTTTTTTGAGGATTTGTTAGGAGCTTCATTCTGTATCAAATAATGAGGAAAAAAACTTTTGTGAAGGTAAAGGCAGACCTTTAAAGGTCTCTTTCACTTGGATAGTGCCTCATTCCATTATTCCCAAAGCTCATGTAGATTTTATCCATCTCATGCTTTGCAAGGTCGTATTCTTTTGTGGCACCACTTTTGTTATGCCCCAGGTTTTGAGATCAGCAAATACACTCCTATTAAGTTTAAATAAGCACAACCCTAGCCTTGGAGGCTATCTTTGACATTGGACTTCAAGAATTTGACCCCCTCCCCTTGCTTCTCAATGAAAGGGAGGCAATAATGCTTTGCTTCATAATGCACACCTCAAGATTGCATCTGTAATGAAACACTTCAAGTAGGGATCAGTTATAGCAGCAAATGGCTTTAACATTTCCAGTGAGCAAAGGAACTGAAAACATACGGGTGCTCCATGTTTACAGATCAAAAAGAGTGCAGAGCTAAAAGCAAGGAGAAGCAGAGTAGAAAACGTGGCTTCCCTTCTCTGCTAGGAGTCTTCAAAGGTTGTATTTAAACTAACAATCTGTAAGGAAAAAGAATGCCCTCCATGAATACGTACCTAAGCCATGCCAGAATAAGCTGACTGTTGCACAATTGAGTTTCTGTGTCAATGCTCTTCGTGACTCATTTTAATAGCATATAGGCAAATAGTAGCCAGGTTTACTCCGCCACAACCACCACTGCTCCAAGAATGAATTACTTTATCTTGGCATGTACTTATTGGTTCATTTGTTGCACTTATTTATATCCTACATTTCAACACACACAGTCTTCCAAGGTGGCCTATAGGAAACACTAAACTACTTGAAAAACAAAACGAAAAAGAGTAAATATACATTATTCTGACAACGCAAGTCTGAAGTGGATGTGCAGAACTGTAAGGCTGTAGGTGGGGCAGTGCCAGATTCACAAATAGGCAGAATAGGCACCAGACTATGGGACCCACACCTTTAAGGGGCTCCGCAACAACAGATCAAAATAATATTGATTTGATCTTGACAGAAAATTACAATCAAGCTTTCTCAGTTCAATGGGGGGGGGCGAGATTTTGACTGTCATGGGGCCTCCACAAGGTTTAATCTGGCACTGATGTGGGGCTTATGTAAGAGGAAAGAATAAGGAAACACAAAGCACTTCTCATGTTCAAGTGTGATTATTCTATGGAGAATTTTCCACATTAGCTTCCACACAATCCTGGGGTTTTTTTTATCAGCCATGCATATTCATTGCTGTTCAGTCACTTGCCAGCCATACTGCTGCACAGAGCTTGGTAGAATTTATCAGGAGATGTGCCCTTCTCTCCCACACCCGTGTCCTATATTACTGTTGTTATATATTTATTTATTTATACCCAGACCTTCCTCCTAACAGGGAACATCTGAAAACATTGATAAAACTACACACACACATTAAAAATCTATTAAAATCATACAGACCTGAAGGCTAGGACTTAAAGCAAATGTAGGAAAACACAGGATTCTGGCATATGCTTATAATAACAGCTAATACACACCTATGGTAGCTACTTTTGGGTAAACTGAGGATACCACCACCTGTATATGGTGTGACATTTATAATAATTCTCAACAAAACCACACATAAATTACTGGAAAACTTGACCCTACAAACAAATTTTGCAGGCATGCATCTTTGTCTATTTTGTGAAAGTTAATTTCAGGGTTTGGTTGGAATGCAATTACATTCTTGAAAGCCAGTGTATCAAAGTTCCGCCTCAAAAATGAGAGGAAAATAACACGATGCTTTGATTGAAACGTGTCTGTAGTCAGTTCCTGGAATGCTGCATACTTCACATAGATTTCCTCACCCTGTCAAGCAAAGAAAACCTTCATAATCAGTTTTGGTACCCCAGAGCTCTTCCAAGTCTCAAAGTAATATTCTGAAAACAGTTCACATAGAGCACAATAATGTTCCCAGACCAAGCCTGTTAAAGCACCAAGAAAACACAGAACTTCAAATGACAGAATCCATAAATTTATAAAACCTCCTAGGCCATCTGCATGAGCATGAGAAACCCAAGGGAGCACTTTTCTCCTCTGTGTCAGCTCCCCCCACCTCTCTCCTAAGACGACAGGGAGCCATTTTTTGGTTGCAAAGTAGCATGGCCTGTTGCCACTGTTTTAACATGGGACTCCTACAACTCACTCTTCTCCCCCTCATCCACCCCCACTCCCATTCTTTATTCTATTATATACTCTGTTGGATGGAGGAGCAGGGGAAACGTTTATTACAGAGACATTAAAGCAAGAGAGCTATTTACAATTTTGCCGAAAGATTTAAACATATTCCTGCAAATATGTAGCCAAGGGAAGCTGCTAATAGCATATGACCGCCAGCATTCAATATTTTTATTGAGGGTTTTATGTACATGCTAAAGATACTATAGTTATGAAATGCTGCTTTGCTATTTGAAACTTATCAACCGCATAGGGAAAACCATCTCCAGCAGAATATGGCAGAAAAGTGTCCAATGACACAGCAATTGCCATGCAAATTTTGATTACAGCAGCTACATTATAAAAATCTATTCTTGATACAGTCGTACCTTGAAAGTCGAATGGAATCCGTTCCAGAAGTCGAACTTCCAAAACGTTCAAAAACCAAATTGCAGCTTCTGATTGGCTTCAGGAAGCTCCTGCAGCCAATCAGGAGCGGTGGAACCCCCATGAGACATTTGGGTTCCAAAAGAACGTTCGCAAACTGGAACAATCACTCCAGGGTTTGCGGCGTTCGGGAGCCAAAGCGTCTGAGTTCCAGGGCGTTTGGGATCCAAGGTACAACTGTACTTGAAATAGCTACTTGGGGAAGTTGCAGGAATTTATATTAAAGATCATTTTGAAATAAGCTATTGTCATTTTGCATCAATCAGTGTTAGTGTGTGGCCTTTAATTCCTTCCCATATGATTTGCCCCGATTAAAAAAATGGCTAGATAAAAAGTTTAAACTAATGTAATGTCTAGAATTGCAAGTAATGCTTCACCATAGATTAGCATTATGTAGACAGATGAGAAAGCTGCAACAAACCTTGGACTTGTACACAAACTCGCCTGCTGCTGCAGTCATGTATCGTTCAGAAGTGTTTGCTTTAATTTTAGACTAACTGCACCTTGGTGTTACATCCAACCCAGACAAAGGGCAGTGACTCTTACATATCATTAGTAGAAACCACAGCTTACAAATCTGACTTGCTTTTATTAGCCACAGTTAAAATGAGTTTAGAGTTTGAACATAATGCTACACTGTGTTTAACAGAAAACAGAAAATGAAGCTTGATCTCATCACAACCCCATTGGAAAAGGGGGGACGACAAATGAGCCCAAGTTTCCCCACAGTTCAACCTTGTAACAATAAACAGTGGCTTAGCATTAGGTGTGAAAGCATTATATAAAGGTTAAGAAAAGATACCATGGTCTTGCTAACATACTCCTGACCTCAAATTATGCCATTTGAAATCATTACACGCATATGAATATGGGGTGGTTTCTGTGATGAAGTTCCAAAAATACAGTGTGTCCACTATTACAGAATACACTATGCTGATATGCTCTATCTAAAATTAAGAGATACGTGGTGAAGGAGAAAGTTTATTCCTCCTTTAGAACATTTATAATAACATTTTCCACACAAAGAGATTCTCAGAGTATAGGACAACACAAAATAGCACTAAATCCAACGTTAGCAAATAGGTTCCATCTGAGCTGTGCTCCCCATCTGCCTTTTAGGTGAATCCTAGCCCTGCAACAGCTAATTTCCCCCTTAAAGCTACAGATACTGGACAAGGCATGCCTTTGTATGACCCTCTTCTATGCTTGTCAGCAAAATGGACCAAAACTCACAACAAAACTCCACACAGCTCCTCTTTCCCTCGCTTACCTACAGCGGTGGCAGCTGCTTCTCATTTTTCTTTTTCTTTTTTTGCAAGCTTCTTCTTGCCCCTGCCTTGATTTTCTGTGTATTTCTAGAAGAGGTGAATGAGAGGTGAGCTGTTCTCACTCCAGAAATACACTATGTTCGTGAGCCATAGTCACTGCACTCACATCATTGACAAAATACAGTGGTACCTCGGGTTAAGTACTTAATTCGTTCCGGAGGTCCGTACTTAACCTGAAACTGTTCTTAGCCTGAAGCATCACTTTATCTAATGGGGCCTCCTGCTGCTGCAGTACCGCCAGAGCACGATTTCTGTCCTCATCCTGAAGCAAAGTTCTTAACCTGAAGCACTATTTCTGGGTTAGCAGAGTCTGTAACCTGAAGCGTATGTAACCTGAGGTACCACTCTAGCCCCTTGCCTATTTGCACTGAGGCTAAGAAACAGCTTGTGACAATCCACCTTTGTTTGTGTGTCTACACATGCATGGGAATTCGGTTATGAACAAAATAACTGAAAACAGAAAAGTTTGCTCTTTTTGTCACTGCCACCAAAACCATTTGCATCTTGGAGGAGGGGGCAGACAAAATTGCGGGGGGTGAGGGGCTGGATCAGGCCTCAGAATTGGACATTAGTAACCTCTTTTCAATATTATACAAGTTGTTCCAACATGCTACCATATTACAAATCCACTGAAGATTCTATTAGTAGAAAACATGTCGGAAACATGATAGTAAAAGAAAACTTGATCCCCGAGACAACAAGGCATTTCATCTGAATACTGGAGCAGCACCAATTTCAAATTAGGTTATTTTATAGGCTGTACTTTGCTGCTGTGTGTTCACTAGTTGTAGAATATTTGAAGTATCAAAAAAGTCAAGGTGTCATTTAGCCAGGGCTGGCCCATGACATTTTGACACTTGAGGCAAGTCGCAGGATGGCATCCCCCTCCCTGCCAGTGAAAAAGGGGCGAGTAAATCAGGAAGGAGGAGTGGGGAATAAAGATCTACATTGGGATCTGCTGCCCCTGTAGATCCTGCCACCCGAGGCAGACATCTCACCTTGCCTTATGGGTGGGCCAGCCCTACATTTAACTATTCATTCATTGATAATGCTTTTAAATGGACTTTCACAGTGCCGACCTGAGTGCTTCCTGTCCAAACCTGGAAAATATGACAGGTATGAACAATCAGTATTTGGAAGGTCTGGATGTTTGGTACACTACTGAAGATTTATAATACTTATCAAAAGTTATTATTCCCTTGCTGCCATCCACAGCTCTGAAAAAGCTCTCTCTTCTCAGATTTTTGCATTCCATTGTAAAGTTGAAAATCCTGAATTATGTTACTCCACTAAGAGGATTCGAAGGAACCACAATCTCACAGGCTCTTTCAATGGTAACCAAGGTATATCACCATAACTCAGCTACTGAATATTATTTGTATGTTGTGTATAAGCAGCTAAGTCTTAATCCTCTCCCCCATTGAAAACCAGTGGCAAGGTTTCTATTGAATTCAAAGGGAGACAGATTGGCTCTTAAGCCATACTAATAATATAGTGTAGAAAAGAGAACTGCTCTCTGTTAAATGACATGACACAGCTTGAGACATATGCTTAGAAAACTAACAATAACCGATGGACCAGATGAGGTTGCCACATTTTCCGGAGGCTATGTTATCCTCTTAGCCCTTGACAAAAGGATGTCAGGAACAATATGCTGTACCTTCCTTTTCTGGATCACCCCAGCTCAGTATCCCCCTCCTGGGTGAGCCAAAGGATTTGCTCCCGCTGCCTTTAATATGTATATTTAAAGGATCTGTGGAGGAGCTCCAGGGTGAGATGCTGCCTGGCGGCTCTACGGACCACCCAAGCAGGGTCAAGCGAGATTATGTCTGCAGCTGCCCAGACGCTGCTGTGTTTGCTTCCAGCACAAGAATCTAGCATGGCAAACAATTCAATACTGTCGCAGGGGGTTACTGTTTATTTGCATCTGTTTGATTTTATACATAGACAGAAAAAGAAATAAAGCACTCTACATGCTAAATAATTAGCCTTCCAGCATAACTGGAACAGTTCAGACTAATACTGAAAGACTGCTCCTTATCTGACCGTGGAATAAAATAAGACTGCAGCTGAAAGATATTCAACTCAAGTAATAAAGATTAGCTGAATATATAAAACCGTCTGATCATTCTGTGAAACCTAGGGGGAGGATTTGTGAAATCTGTTATCTGAAATGATGTTTCTTCTCCTTTTATTCACAGAGTATTTGGAAAGGTCATTGCAACACTGTGCAGCTGCGTGCCAACAGCTTCAGATGCCATTGCACCAGAGTGAGAAGTTTTATGTAATGCTACATAGAATGTTCATGATTCCACCCCACCCCACCCCGACTTCCTGAATATCCATTTCAGAACTTAAGAGTAGAACAAACATTCTAGAACCATTATTTCAATGAAAGAAGCTATCATGGAAGCATAACAATGGGACTAACCACTATAAAAATCCAGTATAGATTGATGGAATAATTGTGCATGATTGCTGTGTGGAGTGTTAATCAATTCTGCTTTTTAACAGAAAGCAATAAATAATAAAAAAGCAATCCAGAGAATCCTTTTAGGCTCAAGCAGCCAGCAAAGCTGTTTTAACTCTAAGAGTACCTCCCTGTTTTCTGTGCTCATAAACCTGCAGGAGCTTATGTCACAATAAACTAGAGAATCTCTGAGATTCGCAGCACTTTAGAGTCTAAGGTCATAAAGGGGCAGGGATAATGTTAAAATGATTTTCTATAAAAAATCATAGCCACAGAATGCTGTGCGTCTCTGAGGCTATTAGGCTTATTGTGAGATGGGATTTCAGAGGCATTTGCCTTTCTAAAATACTTTATCTAAACAGATATGCTTTGAATTGCAGTAAATACCATCTCATGAATGCAAACAAATGTAAGCTACACAAAACAGTCATATGTGCACAGAAGTATTCTCCCTTGGATAGTTTCACCAGTGCTCAGAGATTATGGAAATTGTACTCCAAAACCTCTAGAGGGCAAGAGGTAGCAAAAGGTCTCTAATACCATCAGATACCTAAATAACCTATGTTAAGGAGTTGTGTGTGCATATACACAAATTGAAAACCAAGTTAGAAAAATGAAAATCATGTTAGCAAGGCAAGATGATAACTAAAGAACACACCTTGATTACCAAAGCAATACAACACGTGAATAGGCAAATGAGAAAAGCACTCTTAAGTCCCGAGAACATTCTCAAATGTGTGTCTTTCATTTCTAGGCCAACTGCAATATAAAATATGCCTGTTCCAGTACAATTACTTGAATGTAAGAGATGAAGTGTAATGGTAAAAAGGTAAAGGACTTCTGGACAGTTAAGTCCAGTCAAAGGCGACTATGGGGTTGCGGTGCTGAACTCGCTTTTCAGGTCAAGAGAGTTGGCATTTTGTCCACAGACAGCTTTCCGGGTCATGTGGCCAGCATTACTAAACCGCTTCTGGCGCAACGGAACACAATGATGGAAGCCAGAGGGCACGGAAACGCTGTTTACCTTCCCACCATAGTGGTACCTATTTATCTACTTGCACTGGTGTGCTTTCGAACTGCTAGGATGGCAGAAGCTGGGACAGAGCAACAGGAGCTCACCCCATTGTGCAGATTTGAACAGCCAACCTTCTGATCGGCAAGCCGCAGAGGCTCAGTGGTTTAGACCACAGTGCCACCCACGTCTCACTCAAAGTGTAACGATGACCACTTGTGTAACATGTATTTTCTGGGTATGTAATAAAAGGAAGATTGAATACGCCAACTTCCAAAACGTCTATTATAATCTAGACAACGTTCTGCCATATAAACATGGTTGGCACACAAGCAAACAAGCAAATGAAATAAATAATATTCCACGTAGTGCTAATTTCTTCCTTCCGTGTTCCCTCTACTGAGGAATTTTAAAATGCAGTTTTAATTTGGGAAGGCAATGGAGTGTATCTACCTGCTGGATCAGCTGCCAGCTGAAAAAAGGCTGATAGAAGCATGTTCTGGATGTTGTTAATTACACAAAAATGGTTCATTAATCTTTAGTGTCAATGCTGCTTCTGCAGGGTTCTGCAGCATAACCCTCGTTGGATGTATTGTTGTGCATTTTGTATATTCATTTTGTGAGGAATTGTGACACACCCACTCACAAGTGTATCTACCTGCAAATGAGCACTTCAAGCACTTGATACATCTACTCATATGTACAACTACTCATTAGTAAGCACCCCAGAACATATCTATCCTTAGGCACATGTGGGCAGAGTGACAAGCTGCCTGGCACATCCCCACTGGAAAAACTCTACTTGCATTTACGAAGATTTTCATAAGTACAATCTAACTCCAAAAGTAGATGCTGCCCAGAAAGATCACACAACCATCATGGACATGCTTGGGCACCCTTGCCCTCAATGCACTATGCAAAGCTACCGGATTTATATTAGAAACTTGAAGTCATTCATTTATCAAAGAATGTGCATTAGTAATGACAGCATGAAACAGTCCACGGTTCCATGCTAGCTAACCTTTTTGACAGCTCTCTCGGACTGACCTTGGCCAGAGTGGTGAAACAGAATGGCTTTGTGCTGTGGATTAATATTCAATTTGCTATATAGCTATTCCCGTCACGTTAAGTGTCACAGGTTAACAGAAAAGGTTAGACAGTACTTATTATGAAGTCGCCAATATGAGTGATTTTCAAGAAGCTTGAGGTGCTGTATAAAAGCAAAACATTTTGAAAGCAAATTATCACCCATACAAAATGCAAGTGATTTATCCTCTGGTGTTAAATTATACATAGTACACAACCAAAGCATGACAGGCAAATGGCATACATTGGAAGGGACAATCTGCTTTTAGCACTGCCAATCACTCCTGTGTCTCTTTAAAAAGAGATCATCACTGTCATTCAGCTGCGGACTCCCTATCTTGTCTATGGTTGCAACCAGGTTCCACACATCCTTTGCAAATGACTTCTGAAAACCACTTGTTTGTTCATGATGCGCACTACAGTGGTACCTCGGATTAAGAACTTAATTTGTTCTGGTGTTCCATTCTTAACCTGAAACTGTTCTTAACCTGAGGCACCACTTTAGCTAATTGGGCCTCCCGCTGCTGCTGCCACGCCGCTGCCACGCGATTTCTGTTCTCATCCTGAAGCAAAGTTCTTAACCCGAGGTACTACTTCTAGGTTAGCGGAATCTGTAACCTGAAGCATCTGTAACCTGAAGCATCTGTAACCCAGGGTACCACAGTAATTCCTTCATTATTAGCACACTTTCACACACTGCATTTAAATTCTACCAACAGAAAGCAGCGGGATTATTTGCAATATCAGCAGCTCGTCACTCTTTACAATGGCGTTATTTTGCTCATGTGCACGGTCAGCAACAACAGCTGGTAACAGGCAGTGTAATTCAAGGGCAACAAAATGGTCCAACTGCTCAGCAATAGATGAATTTGTTTTGGCAATATAAGAATGTTATGTAAGTGATCTATAAGCCACCAAGCATAATTGTGATGGTCAATACTTTAAAATCGGGAGGCTACTTTGGAAAGGGACTCTTTATAGAATATCAAATCTCTGTCTCATAGGCTCCATTTACATATCATGGTAATCCAACATTCTTGACCATGCAGTGTTGAGCTGCATATTGCCCAGTTGCTCCTGTTCTTCTCCTCCCATGGTACAGATGGAAGGGATGGCTTATCAGTATGTCAGAACGTGGGAAAATGGCTTGTTTTGCCCTAATAAACCATGGCCAATAAGTCAACATTAATGAATGAAGAACAATGCTGGCTAGCAATCATGGTTTGTTAGGCTGGAACAAAGCAGGGTCCTGGATTCGGATGCAATGCTGAGCTATCCACATCCTGGTTTGTTTATCTATCTGTGCCAGGGGAAGAGTGAAGAGGAATGATCAGGATGCATGGAAAAGAACACAACTTGTGCATATGATTTCTTAACACAGCATACATTTGATAAGATATGAATTTTCCTTTTAAGAGAACTGAATTTGACTTTTTTCTCATTATTTTTATTAATTTTCCAAATTATTACAAATCAAACCAAATCAAATTAATTTAATACAATTTCTTAAAATCAGGTTTCCAGCTCCTATACCAAACATAGATGGCAGCCATTTCAAAAATCAAGGGCAATAACTAGAATTGTGACCTAGAGGAAGAAGCTGCAGACTGTGAAGCCAGAGAGGTAGAACATGGTGTTTGATTTCTGCTTGAATCCAAGGCCGTGGCTACAGAAGAAACAAGACCCCCTTGGGATGTTGATGCTGTGAACCCCTACATCGTAGGCTCAGGTTGCATATATGTGTAAGGAAGCCATACATCATAAAGACACCAGTTTCCACTATGCCTCATTTCCAAAAGGAAACACAAAGCCTGGGTAAGCACTTGCTCACAGATTGGGGTGGTGTGCAATAATTCTAACAGCCCCCAATACCATCTTTTGAACTTTGGGGTTCTTGAATTTATCTGTTTGATTTATTCAAAGATGTAATGTGTTACCATACATCTCCATTGTTATTAAGATTGGGGTTTTTTGATAAACAGTTCTTTAAAAACAAAATTCTGCACACAGAAGCATCTGTTAACAAATGTAATTAGGTAACTTCAATATGAATATCCACAAGGAAACATCCAATTAAGCTGTACATTTTGATTATCTCAACCAGCATTGTATTGGCAGAGCAGTGACTGAGTCTCATTGAATTCCAAGTGAAGGAAACTACATGGTTGGCATCCATCTGTCTCAGGAGAGATATATAATATTCCCTAGGCGGCACATTTTTCCTAAAATATTTTCACAAATGTACCTTGCTACTTCCAGAAATCTTTTTGCCTTAAACGTAATCTATATTGTAACACACGGTTGATCTTGAGGAGGATGGGTACATAATTCATCTTGTTGCAGGGAGGATGAGAAGTGGAGACCTGGAATTAAATGGAGGTCAGTTTGTAAACTGAACTACATTTAAAACCAAAGGTCTCTTTTGTAGCAAGCAACTCATTAATTCAATGTTATATCTCCATGCCAGAGAAGCTGTAATAATTATACTGTGTGAAACTATTATGTCCACACAATAATTACATCAGAAGCAGAAAACACACACACTGCACTTTTCCAAACATTGAAGTCTGGATATGTAATTTTGAGGACAAAAAATAATAAAATTATATATAATAATAAAAGAAAAAGAAAAGAAAACTATTGCTTACAAATGCTAACCAACCTGTTTTGAAGTATCCTTCATTTGCACTACAACATTGTTATGAAAATTCAGCATTGTGGTTCTCAGTGCTACATCGTACTGCTCTGCTAAATATCAATATATAGTTTTTGTGAGAGTTGTTAAAGATACAATCAAGGCTCATGATCAAAGATTGGTTCAATTACTTATTCATTTCGTCTTAATTCTACTTCTGGGATTACGAGCCTTTCACATAAATTTTCTTCCATGTAACAAATTCCAATATAGGCTTTGGGTCCATGACTATATTCCCACAAGTAATACATTAATAAATATGCATCATTTCCATTCACATAGTCTTCACCACAGGTATAGTAGAGTTGTTTGTAAACTCATTATGGTGTGAGAAACTGATTAAACTATTTTGAATAGGGAATGAATTCTATTTCTTTTCTTTAAATTTATTAGGCAGATTTTCATTGATCTTCTCAGTGACTGCTAACCAGTGAAGGATGCAAAAACACATTTTTGTACTTATATAAACTTGAACTCAGTATGATTTTTCTGCTGTATTACGTCAATGTAACCAAATATAGCTATAATTGCAGACTAAACAAATATGCACCCTCTCCAATATATTCTCATTCTTATAGCTGCTAAGTTAGGCCGTGTAGTAACTATACATTCTTTCTCAGACAATCATTAACAAGGCAGGGCTGCAACCCACCTTATTTAATTCCCTAAGTACCTGAAAGCATGAGTGCAAAAAAAGTGAACTAAAAGGCTTCTTTTTAAAGACAAGCTATTTATGACCTCAATTCATCAAGCTATATACTGACTGCATGAAGAAATGTGAAACGAACATTTAATTACATTTTGAAAACAAATAATTGCTTTGTGAACTCATTTTCCTCCTTATTTAGCTGCAGCGATCTAAGCTCAGAAATGTATGATGTTCCCTACAACAGATGGTGACTCTCAAAGCATCTAAAGCAAATTGCTTGCCTGTAGCCTTACATAGATTCAACACCTCTTCCTGGAGAAATGGAAAAATCAAGGCATGCAAAACAGTATGGCACCCAAACCTTTCTGTATTTAGCATCTCACTCTGATTGTGTGCCTTCCTGCAACATGGAGTTTTACTTGCAATAATATATTAACAACATTTAAACTTGTTTATCCACCTGTTTCTGTTAGACACAACACTGCAACATCATAGGTGGGAATATGATCTGGCACTGAAAATAGAAAGAAAAATCAGCTTCTGTGCCAGTCCCAGGCTAGTTTGGACATGTCAGAAGCCATCATTCAAGGATCAGAAGTGGGCCACAGGATTACAAGCACCTCCTTAAGGCCCATCCTTTCAGTGCTTAACTGTTCCCCATCCCCTCCAACCGAGGTCAGTCCTACACATGACCACTATTGATTACACCTAAAATTTATCTAGGTAAGATAATTGGGGTTTTTTTATTTTTGGAATTCACGTTGCACTGTGTTTTAACAACTGCAGCACTGTCATCAACATGGTTAATGCTAGGTGTATCTGGCTTAATGTTGGTTTTGAAGTTTACATTAAACTCCTATTTCAGATCATGATTAAACAGGAGTCTGTGTGATTTGTTGGTGAGGTCAGTGCCAATGTCACCCTTTCGTACAATTATGGCTGTGTACACATTACCCTTTCCTACAGCTCCAGTGTGCCCCCGCCACTGGTGTTTGAAGCAGATTACACATGACATTAGCCACAATCCATATGGCTCCAATACTTTGAGATATACTACTGTTTGATGCGTTTCCCCTCAAATCAGCTTCCATCCGATTTGAAAACCATGGTTAAGCTAAGGTGTGCAGGTTTCAGACAGACATCTTCATGAATCAGGGTTCAGGTGGGATTCAGGCACAGGAACACAAAATCAGATAATGTGCACCAGGTGAAGACATCTCCACCCTTTCTCTGGTGTGTACAGAAACATAAAACTGTGTCTTGAAATGCAGTGGGCAGGGAACAACCTTGCTGTGTTTAAAGCCACTAACACGCACAGCGCCCAAGACACACTCTCTCCAGAAAAGATGTGGTGGGAGGTTAGCTCCCAATATGTTAATCATAGTTAAGAAGGTGTCAACATTATACCTGCACCAGCTCTTTATGATACCACCATTGTTTCTTTTGGAGACATCAGTTGCATGCACCAACTCTCAGAAGCAGAAGGCATATTTTAATTATTATTATTTTATATTTCATTATTTTTATGCCAACATTTTTACTGGGGTGTAGAGAGTCCATGAGTACACGCTGCACTCACAAACACTTGGCAGTATGTTGTGGGAGCACCCTAACATTTGGGTTTGGATGGTTGTAGGGAAGATGAGAAAACCCTGAACAAAACAGAGACACCCTATCCCATTCTTTGGATCCCAGCCCACGTCTGTAAGAACCAATTGTATTATTTTGAGAATAGCCAGTTCTTGTCAAAACAGCTGATTGCAACAACCCTTAGGGTACTTGCAGGAAAACTAATTAGAGGTTTAGTAATTTTGCATGTATGTATTCTACCCGAAATATGCACCTGGCAACATGTGGACTTCTTAGGTCTCTGATATCAACTGCATGCATTTTAAGTATCAAGTGTCCCCTTAGCTGCATCCTAATACTAGGAGAAAGAGAGAAAAACCACCAAATAGTCTAGGTTTGTGTCCCTTTTATATTGCCAAACAACACAATTGCTAGCATCAGTATAAATGTGCTAGACACTCTCTTGAGGCAGCCATGTTCTGGTCACTATGACTTGAGCACAAATCCCAGGTTGTCATTGTAGTGGGAAATAGACTTGCTTTGAATCTTTTCATTAAGTAGCCACTTATAAAGGGAGATTCTGGAGCAGGCTGACCTGCTGAACTGATTAGCAGACTTCCTGAGCTGAGCATAAAAGCATGCCCTTCTGATATGAAACAACACTCTTCAGCTAAAAACTCTGGCAACACTTCAATTTGAGTCCCTCTTGATTATTTGCTTTGAAGATCGGTGCATCAGGCATGGCACTGTGGAAACGAATGATACTTGAGATGGGCTACTTGAAAAGAACTACAGTCTGGGAAATATTATAAGGGCCTGGATGAATTTCTGAACTATGAAAGTCTTCCTCACTTACTGAAAAATCCAAGCCTTCCCACAGGTATTCCTCTCTGGAGGGCAATACTGCATCATTTTTTACCATTAAGTGAATATTCTGACCAAGGGAGAAAGATCATATAACAGTAGCATTCACAAAAGCAGGATTAGTTTTATGGGAGGATATGTTTTATGAAAAATCTCAATTGCCTAATTTGGTATCTGATGAAAACGCTCTTGCCTTCACTTAATGGTAGCATTTTATGAATGATGGTTTGCACACCTAAACATGATAACTTAAATTACTGAGATTTCATGGGTCTTTCAGACACATGCAAATAATTAACTGAATCACAGAACTATTAATGCAGAGACCTCTGAACTAATTGTTTGCATCTATAGGCAGCAAAATCTAACTTAGGTGTGGGGAACTTCTGGCCCTCTAGATGCTGCTGAACTACAACTCCCATCATCCATGGACATTGGAATTGCTTGCTATGACTGATGGGAGTTGTTGTTGTTCAGGAATCTGGAAGGCCAAAGGTTCTCCACTCCTGATTTAACTTAAGCAGCTTCTGCAATAGTTTTGGATAATAACCTGAACTTCCTGAAAAAATCTGGGCAAATAAAATACTGTGCAGAGTTTACAACTGGAAGATATTGTGAAAGCAAATAAAATGCCAAATAAGCCACCAGCCATACTATTTATCTACCTTTATTGCACATAATTGAATTTAAAGGGATGGTGTTGTTGTTGTTGTTGTTGTTGTTTTCTGGAAGTACTCACTGGTACACAGTACCAGCACCTTTCCCCCCCTTTCAAATCTTGGAGAGTGTTAGGACACACAGTGTCTGAAGGTGCACTCTTCCACTGCTTCCCAAAACAGACAGATGCCAACGACAACAACAACAACAACAATAACCAAAACTAAACTCAGATCCTGATCCAGCTAAATCCCAGATTTCTATGGACATGCTTAACTCTTCCATTGAAATCAATGGAATGTCTCGAAGTTTTGCTGAAGGTGCCACTTGTATGCAATATTAAGACCTATATAATTGCAAGGGCAGAACAACTTCTGTTTCTGCATCAGGACTCCCCCTTTCTCCCCCTGCACGCACTTCCTATCCCATCCCCAGATCTGTTCTGTAGGGTAGGTGGAACCCCTAAAACACATGGGACATGCAGGAGGAGGGGAAGGGGAGAAAACCTTAAGCTGACAGGATGTTCACCTTAGTGCTATGTTGCATTTGACTCTATATCATGGGACATCAACCTTTTTGCGGGGCCAGCAGGCATATTTTTAGAATTTGGAGAAATCGCTAAAGAGGTCAGTAACACAATGGCTGCTGACAGGGTGTGATGTAACTCAAAGTGGGAGCAGCAGGGACATCCATATAAAACCATATAAAACCATATTAAACAGCAGATAAAGAGAGGGGCCACTAGGGGCGCATCGGAAGATGGCTGACAATAACATCTCTCCGACCCACACAAGGTAATTAGGAGGCTGTGATGGGAGTAAATAGCCTCCCTGCCCCCCCCAAGCGTGTGTGGGGGGACTGCCCTTGCCTGCTGTGCCCTATACCACCCCCAAATTTGTGGGGATGGGGGCACTAGGCAGAAAGCCCTCCTGTGGATCTCAGCGCTCCTGGATGCTGTCTCTGATCCGCACCTCCTAGCTGCAGCAACTTCAAAAGAAACAATTAGGAGGAAGCGAATGCACATATTTCAAGGAAGAAGGGGGAGTAAAGACTGCTAACTGAAGAGATCTCTGATAAATAAGACGGGTCGGAGGAACAATAAATCATGAGAAGACACACCAAGGCTCGGTATGTTTGGCAACGGGACTGGATGGGGGAGGGGGAAAAACTTTCCTTTCTTTTCTCTATGTGATTAACTAAGAATACCCCCCCCCAAGTCACAAGTCAGAAATGCCGTTTAAATGACTTAAGCTGTGGATTTAAGGCTGTGTGGAGATAATTTTCTAACCAAAGCATGTTTCAAGAAGATCGTGGAAAGTATAAGAGCTTTGGAATGACGCAGTAAAAAATAGCGTCGCCATTTTGGCAAGTTCTGTCGGAAGACTTAAGTCTGGGAGGAGGAACAGAGCTGTTTTTATATTGTGGGTGAGCCTCCTCAATGGGACTAAAGAGCAACAGATTTGCGAGATTAATGATGGAAAGAGTGCTGTTATTTATGAAAGTGATGATATATGGAAACCATCTGGATATGATGATTGGACGAATGGAGCAATTCACACAGGATTACAATTGGTGTTTACCAGCTTAAGGAGATTATCAGAAGAGATCCAAAAGGGAAAAAAAGAAAATATACGAACAAGATGAGATGTGGAAACAGCAAGATAAGACTGGATAGAATTATGAACATTATTTGGACAGATTTGTGGATATTAACGCAGCAGCAAGATGATGATCGGAATCCCCCTTCGGAACTTGAAATATGGGTCCCCTCAACAAAAATTTAAAATTCGGCTTTGTAATTCGGAATTTATGTGATGTGATTTGATTTGATTTGATTGGTCGGTTAATAAAAATTATTTTTTAAAAAACAAAAACACAGCAGATAAAGAGGCCAGAGCACAGAATAGTGCAGATATGCCCCCATCAGTCAGTCACTCCATCATGGGGGGACGGACGGACGACGTACCTACATCAGTCAGCACCATGTCTGGTCACAGAGAGAAGATCTTCACCTCTCCTCTATTGAGAACAGACGGAAAGATGAACAACGAATCCCTGCTTCCAGTGAAATATATGCATGTTTAAAGGGCCACGTTCAAGGTACAAGAGGCTCAGCGAGTGCAAAGAGTAACTGAGCAGGGAAGGCAAACTGTCTCCTGCATATTGTGGATTTTTGAAAGGGATATTTACTGAGACCTTTTGTGGGTGCCACAGAAGGTACGGGCAGGTAGTGTGATTCCTGCAGACCCCACACTGGTGGCCACTAGTCTATATTATTAAGCTTCTACTAGGGGATTTCACAGCTTTAAAACAACAAGAAGCGTTTTAAAAATGTTACTACCAGTGTTAGAACAGAAACAAGATTTGGCCACAAACAGTATTTTGGAACATTTAGAATTTTAGCTGGATTTCCAAAAATCAGTGTAATATAGTGCCTGGATACAGAGAAACTTTGAAGCAGGATATTCTTTTAAAAGAAGGTTTCTGTTTGGCAGATCATCAAATAAAGGTCTGAAGCTTTTTGTTATCCAAAGCTACACTTGAAACAGAGAACATTCTGAAATCAATCCTCACATAACACAATACCAGTTCCATAGGGTATCCCTTTATTACTTAGGAGATGCAATTTCTTTCCTGGTGCTTTGCTACCTGTATAAATGACAAGTAACAAGATAAACCTCAGGTTTACTTAAAATCATGGCAATTTAACTTTCATTTATTAAAAAAAAACCCTGAAAATATCCTACATGCTGAAAATCGAAATATCCTATCTCAGATGCCTATGAAAGTCTCATTACTATGTCACTCAGTGGTATCGCACATGGCAACTACTGCCTCTTTTATTCAGTTTGTGTGTCTGACCATCTTTCTCCAACCAGCAATTTCTTGGTGGTACCAGAATCTGATATAGATCTGAAAATGAGGGCTGGGGAAGAGCTACTTGTCTTGTTTATCAAACTTTTTCACTTTAATTGTATGTAGGTGCTAACATAACATCAATTTGGTAACATATTAAAAGGTATTAGCAGATCTGTTAAATCTACATTTCCAGATTAACAGAAAGAAAGAGATGGCTGCAAAAGTCCAGGTGTGTCTACCTGGCCCTTGAATTGTTCTTGCCTGCCACTCAAGGCATAAAAATGACTGCAGCAATATCCTGTTCCCACTAAATGTTGTGAATCACCATTCACTTCCTCAGGACCCATGTTTTGACGAACGTAATGAATACTCTATGCCAAGGCAAGAAACAGAAAGCAAGTGCAGGCTGAATGCTGCCTTTTATTCACTGAATCAGCTACTTGTTTCCAACACTGAAAGCTTTCAAAGTCTACATAGGTGTTCAAAAGGAAAGGTAATAGATCTTCTCATCTGTTGAGGTTGGTTATGTGGCTGAGTCTTGACATGCTTTATTAGAATTCAGCAGACTATGTTTAATTAGACCATAGAGTTGAGCTTTGCCTGGAACGATGATCAAGAGCTCAGGTATCACAAGGCTCTCAGAGTCAATGCGATAAAGCCACAAGTAGTCAAGATGGTGCCACCCCCTGTCATTGCTGGACAACAGCTCCCATCATCCCTGATCTTTTGACATGCTGGCAGGGGCTGATGGAAATCATAGTCCAAGAACTTCTGGAGGGCACCACACTGGCTTACCCTGCAATAAATAAGTAAGCAAACAGCAAGGATGAATGCAACAGAGGCTAGCCATGGATAATGCATTTGTATACAATCCAATTGTCCTTGACAGTCCCAGTTCTGTGGTACTTGTCTGTGGTAAGGCACAGTTTTTCTCCTATTTTGCTGTAGGTGCATTCTAGGGAGTGCCTTGTTAAAATTGTTGATGTGTAGTGCTAGAATTATGTTGCTTCTGGTTTTAGCCTCTTCCCTGGGTATCTACAAGTTAAATAGCACAGGGCTAATATATCTCATCTTTAATGCACATGAATGCAGATGCATGCCCATAAACACAAAACGTAACATGTAGTGCCATGTACCATTTTGTACACTGTTGCTGATAAGGCTTATTTTGAAGTGCTGGTGATAAATCATATTACAATTAGGCATTTCATTCTTAATGAGAAGAATTTTACTTTTACATCTGTGAAGGATCAGCTATTGCAAGGTAAATCAATATAATACAGAGTGGGTTAACTTGAGCATTCAAGTGAAGTACAATGGGGGTGGTGTGTGGGAGAACTCTTGGCAGTGAGAATATGGTATTATGAATACATTTTTCACCTGCAAAATGTAGCCATCACAAAATGTGAGGTTGTACAACATCTACACTGCCTGCATGCTGTTGAAGTTTAGGCATGAACCTTACCTTGCAATTTCAGTCCTTTTTAAGAGTAAGAGTAAATTGGTAAGATTCTAAAATGACAAATCACTTTATACAGAAAATGTACAATTATCCTTCATCTGGATAAATGCCTTGGTTTGTCTGTTCCTTGGAATAGACACAGGGAGTCTATGCAAATGAAGGTATCATGAAACTAAAGCTGACAGTCCATGTTACAAGTACCCAACTAGCAACCAGTACCATCCACATTAACAACAGAGAGTTGGAATGAACACATTATTACTGGATTTTTGAAGGCAAAAGTTAAAAACAAGGCAAAGGGGGGAGAAGGCATTAAGGCGACAATCCTAAATTATTCCTATTTACTAAGGAATAAGAACCACTGGATTCTGTGGGACTTACTTCTGAATAAGCATGCTAGTTATTGCATTACATATCCAACAGAGGGGGGGGAAATATCCCACAATAATAGACAAACATGCACTATTTTGCAATTTGTGACATATTATAGATTTGAATGGATGGTCATTTATAACTGTAATCCTTTGCATTTTGACAAAGCCTATTGGCTTTTGCCACGTTGTTTTAAATGACATTTTAAAAAAGTTATCTGCCTCGACACTCCAAGAGAGAGGTGAAAGATACTGCAAAAGTTTCATCAGGTCACAGGGCAGACTGAGTAATTCTTTCATTTCAGGAGGGTTTATTTTTTGACCCACATCTTATGGCTTTTGTTACTAGGAGATCATGGCCCTAATAAAAGTGCCTAGATGAATGTGATACTGTGTCCTCTGCTTCACTGCCAGCATTACTCCCTTCCATGTAGAGATCTGAGGTGCCTAGAGAACTCAGTGCATACCACTGTGCTGATGGGATATGATGGGGTTTGTAACACACACCACCGTTGATGTTTTCGCCCTTTCATCTTATCATTCCCC